CCGACGCGGTGGTCTAGTGGCTAAGGTTATCGGCTGCTAATTCGCATGTCGCGGGAGCGAATCCCGGCTGCGGCGGCTGCATTTTCGATGGAGACGAAAGTGCTGTAGGGTCGTGTGCTCAGATTTGGCTGCACGTTACAGAATCCTGGCTGGTCGAAATTTCCGGAGCCCCCCACTACGGTGTCTCTCATAATCATATGACGGTTTTGGGACGTTAAACCCCGAAAATCAATCATTTAGTCATTCATATTGCGTCGCGTCGTTAGGCAATAACTTCAGCAGACGTGTCATGGCGGAGTTCCTGGGTGAGCCAGATCTAATGGAAGCTTTTATTTAACGTCAGCTAACAAACAATGCTGCTGCGTCCTGATTCGCTATAGTGACAACGGTTTAGCGAGGACATCATCTATGGAAGATCTAAGTGATGTTATCCTAGAGGCATGGCTTTCCTATGGCTCTTCTGCTACTTCATTTAATTTCTAAATCGGTCAAGGTGATATGGCCCGTGCAGGTGAAAAGAAACTACATCAAACAAAGCTGATTAAAATACAAAAGAAGATGGCAACCGGTATGGCTATTGAGGCGAAACGTTCAACCGTTTTGACGATGTTACGCTTTATACGCTTTATCGTGGTTACGTTGAACACTATTACTGGGAATGTTTCGCATTAGATGCGTGGACTATGGCATGAGCATGTGTACATGACTCTAAGCGGGGGGGGGGGGGGGGCGATTTTTAAATGAAAAGAAGATAAAAGTGAGCCCCGTAACTGTCTCTCAGGGTAGTAGCTCACGAGGGATGGGAGTGAGGAGGGATTAAAAAGGATAGGATTTAAAGGTATAGTAATAAAGAGAGGAGCAGGAGGAGAGAGAAGTGCAGAGACAGCCACACACAGAAGTAAGGAGAAGATAGGAATGATGGACACGGTCGCAGAAGTCCGAGGACGGGGCACCACTTGGCGAGAGCTCTTGTCACGTCAGGAGATGGCGTAGGGTGAGCCAGTCGGCCAGAGCTGCGCTGTCGTCGGAGATCGCGGGGGCACAGCCGGTCAGCACGAAATCCAGCGAGCGAGTCGACCCTAAGCGCAAGAAGCTGCGTCCAACCAGAGTCCTTCAATGCTTTGAAGGACTCTGGTGCAACCAACATGCACACATTTGTGTGCGCGTGCGTGCTTGGTGTGTGTGTGTGTGTGTGTGTGTGTGTGTGTGTGTGTGTGTGTGCGTGTGCGCGTGTGTGTGTGTGCGTGCGTGTGTGTGCGTGCGTGTGTGTGAGTGTGTGTGTGTGTGTGTGCGTGCGTGCGTGTGTGTGCGTGTGTGTGTGTGTGCGTGTGTGCGTGTGTGTGTGTGCGTGTGTGTGCGTGCGTGTGTGTGTGTGTGTGTGTGTGTGTGTGTGTGTGTGTGTGTGTGTGTGTGTGTGTGTGTGTGTGTGTGTGTGTGTGTGTGTGTGTGTGTGTGTGTGTGTGTGTGTGTGTGTGTAAGGAAAGTGTTAAAAATGAGTGAACGAGCCAATATGGCAAAACAGGTGACAGATTCGCTTTATACGGGATCGAATACTCAGTGACTGAAAATTCAACACAAAGTGTATAAAACCTGCCATTTTCACGAATGCTATACAGCGCTTACCAAAAGAATGGTTCAACCCTGATGATGCTAAGTTGTAGTGATAATTTGTGCCCTAACCACAATACTATTATGAGGCAAGCCTAGAGGAGGACTCCGGAAATCTTGACCACCCGGTGTTGTATAATGCGTAGACACCGCACAGCACATGAGCCACTAGTATTCCGCCTCCGTTTAAATGCAACAGCAGCAGCTGGAATCGAAACCACAACTGTAAGGTCAGTAGCTGAGCAACGTAATCACTGCGCCAGCGCAGTACATAGGCACCTCCTACCCCTCTCGTATACCTTTCGCTTGTTAACACGACTTCTTAATCTAGGCACTTAATGTTGACTCTAATTCACCGAGTCTCTATTCGGATCGTGGACACCGGCTCGAGACGGAATGGGATAAGCCTCGCCTTTCTTCCAACAGCTTGCGACGTCGGCACTCTACTATAGTTCAAATAGCCAACACTGTGACGCAAACAAAGATGGTCACGTTAGTCTTCCATTTGCCAAAGGGAACCACTTTGCCCCGAAGCGTCCCACACCGTTTATTCGCGTGTTTGCTTGTGCCACTACTCTGGCGTGACTCAGCGAAGACGGCCGACAACAAAGGGACGAAGAAAGATGGCGTTTGATTTACGCGGGACATCTCACTCGGTGACGTCGCTGGCGGCGCCTCCTTTATGCGTGTGCCGTGCACACACGTTGTAGACCACCCTCCCTTCCAACGCACGCTTTTTGTTCACGTCACGGTGGGCGGGAACGCACAGCATTGCTTCTCTTGGCGAAATCTAATATCGGAGGCCAAACAGACACGTGAGTTCAAAGACGCGTGATTAAAATACAGTATTTCCATTCAATAGATCGATGTATGAACGAGGACCCAGTGCATTTTTCTCCGGTCTGCGCGTGGCAAACATTGCGACTGCGACCTTTATTACGGCAATATTAGTGAAAAAACAAACAGCGCGAAAAAAGAGAGACAAGACGAAGAAGTACACATACAGTGAACTTTATGTGTACTTCTTCGTCTGGTCTCTCGTTAGTCTTAGCTAAAGTCTTGACCACTTTAGCTAAGACTAATGATATACATGTTGAGGTTTCCACGATATGTATGTGAGAGACGCAGTAGTGGGAGGTTCCAGAAATATCGGTTACTTGGGGTTCTCGGTGATCCGGAAAACTAAGCACACAGGCTGCAAACAGTTTGTTGCCATCAAAATGCGGTCGCCGAGGCCGCACTTCGATCCCGCGTCCTTCGGGTCGACCCTCAGTCACCGTAACCACAAGACCACCGCAGAGGGTAAGGACAAGGCCAAGAAGTGACACACACTATAGAAGTGAATGGACCATCTTTTGCTTACTGGTCACGGTGACTCTTCAAGCTCCCGAAGGCGTTCTATCAGGGATGGTGACACTGTACTGTTTACGGTACGATTACGCCTGTTCCGTTTTAAATAGGTATACTGCGATCCGAAAGCTTCTTAGGCACTCAAGTAGCTCGGCACATGACGTAGTATGATGGGGATATTTTATTGGCTATTACAGGTATTGCAGATAAAAATGGCGATGCGACGTCCTCGGCAGCTCAGTATCCCCGGATTTTTCGTGTGGTGAAGTGGCGACGCTAAAAGGCCTTATTGCCCAACGGCTTCTTGGGTTGTGAAACGTGCCGCTATGAAAGTAGTCGCTGCACAGCGTATTTCCATTAACGGAATCCTGTAAGCGAGCTACATGCATTTGCGACCAGTTACTTTATTTTATCCTATGCGAAGATGAAAACGAAGGTGGAATTATAGGGTGGTACTGTTTTAGAAAAATTCGCAAGTTGTTTAGTAATCCTCGTCCTTCGCTTACAAATTAAGCTAACTTGTCCCGGAAGAAAATTGACAGTTTAAGACCGCTTCGTATTGAGAGAAAGCCTGGCAACAAGGTCCTTCGAAGTTTCCACATAGCAGAAATTTCGGTAATATTTAAATTGACGCTAGCAGAGATTGAGCTTGGCCGGAAACGGGGTCGGTCATGCGTGAGATGTTTATATGGCATTCCTAACCGCTAAATGTCTTAATTTGATTGATTTGTGGCGGCTTTATGTTCCAAAACCACCATATGATTATGAGAGACGCCGTAGTGGAGGGCTCCGAAACTTTCGACCCCCCGGGGTTCTTTAACGTGCACCCAAATGTGAGCACACGATCCTATACAGCATTTTCGCATCCATCGAAAATGCAGCTGCCGTAGCCGGGATTCGATCCCGCGGCCTGTGCGTCAGCAGCCGAGTGCCTTAGCCACTAGGCCACCGCAGCGGGGCCAAATGTCTTGACGAGCTTGTCATAAATAGCATGGGTATCACTGGCTTGTAATTAGGAACCGGCCACGACTTCATGGTACATGACAACACTATTCAAGGCAACAGCGCTTAGCTGTCACACCAAAGAATAGACCTGGCTGCAATGGGAAAATTGCTACTGTAAGTAATCCAGTGCTATGGGAAGCACGAGATAATTAAGCTATCGAAATAAACCCTGCAGTGTGACGCAATAGTACACTAGCAGTGTATGCTGTTTGTGAATAAGCCCGGCTTAGCTGTCTCTGAAGGTTATTTGAGGACAAATGTAACAGAGGACGCAGCCAGTTTCCGCCACGTTTCCTGAGATTTAATCGCGTATGGGCTTTTCCTGCAAAGTTAAAGATCGTTAAAGCAAAGCACAGGGAAAGGGATGCGTGGACGCATGCAAAAAATGGCGCCCACGTGAGCTCAGTGGCGGCGCGACACCAATGACTTAGGCAGGCACGTATACCGACTGATAAGCAGTCGGAGGGGGTGAACAGGGGGGAACCCTTTGCGATTCCGGGCTCCAGGAATGTTCCTAGGGCGAGGCGACCGCATGGTGGGAAGGCCGGCGCCCCGTCGCGCCGAAACACGGCGTCCGTCTGACCAGGCCGGACACCACACATCGTTACGGCGACGACCAAGACTGCCTGTGCAGGCAAGAAAACGACCGCACATATTTCGGCCCTCCGCCGCCTCATCTTCGGCGCCAATCAACTCGCAAAACAGCGGACAGAGCCCCGCTGGGTGCACAAGCTCCCTTCCCTCGCCCAGACTCATCTCCTCTCGTTTTCCTACGCGCTTCTTTTCCTACCCGTTCCGTGCTCGCTACCTGGGCGCTCATCAGGTGGGGCATTCGAGGAGAGTGCAGGGTTTCGGGCGAGGAGGACGGGCTACGCTCGGCCGGAGCTGTTGGTTCGTGATGCTGAGGGTGGAGGCGCGCGAAACAAAGCGCGAGAAAAAGAGAGCCGCCTGTCGGGGAGAGGAGGTTCGGGGGAAGGAAAGTGTAGTGGGAGGGTGCCGGGGGGTGAGGAAGGAAGGGTCGTCCGTAAAGCCGACGTGCCATCCTTCGGAAACGCCAGTACGCGAACGCAGAACGCGGGTCCGGTCGCATCTCTTACCTCTTCTTCTTCGCCACGGTCGAAACACCGCGGTGTGCAAGACAAAACTTCTCGGAGCATCTCCCGGTCGGGTCCTGTCCATAGGAGCCCGCACTTTACCAGTCCTACAATCCTATTCTTTTGGGTGCGGGCAAATATCTCGGAACTCCATCTCGGGGACGCAGTTGGTCAGCCGTCACCATCACTTCCTGAGCTGAGATCACTTTCTCGTCTCGGCGCGAGGTCAATTAGCCATCGACTGTGCCTGCCCCGAAGGAATCCTTGTGAGCCAACATCCTGTCTGATATCTTCGTTCACCATGGTAAGTCTTCAGCGTTATCTTCTATCGCACGTATGAATCTGAACGCTGAAGTAACCGGCATCAACAACGCGGCATCCCAGCGATGGCATAATTCTCGAATTAGGAATGACTCAAGCGCAACGAGGTAATAGACGCGGAAGGACAAGTTGATTACTATCTGTGCTCGACGCGTCATTCTTACCACTTCAATCACCGGGGTCATCTCGAGTATGAGCTCATAGGGCGCAACTCATTTGCATTTGCCCGCGTTTTTATTTCCTTCCGCTGTTCTCTCCTGCGCGCGCGGAGAGTCGGGCCTCATTTAAATGGATAGTTTGATAGAGGTTACCCTCACGTAACACAGGTGGCATATATTGACTGCATCACCTTCACTCCACACTTTACCCACACTCCTGAGGAGAACTAAACGGGGCAACATTTGCATGTAGTATTTTAGGCATAATAGACAAAGAAGAGAGTGTGGAGGTATTGTTTAGCTGCAGAACGTAATCCACAAGACAGATGCAGGCATGTCTCCCGCCATCACCCTAATGACAAGCAGCTGCTGAATTCCTTATTTGGCCTGGTACAGCCTCATTTCACACACACACACACACATATATATATATATATATATATATATATATATATATATATATATATATATATATATATATATATATATATATATATATATATAGTACTTTTGGCTCATATCTCATGTGAAGTACAGGTGTGCTGTAGTTATTCTGCGGCGCACTCGTTTTGCATACTAATGAAATACAGCCTCGCAACACCTCCGAATGATCAGCATTTTCACTTTGACACCCAGTCGTAAACACCCCAAAGCTAGTAATCTTCTGACATCTCTGGGTTTCATTCTTTACCTCCGGAAATGCATTTTTTTTTCTCGTGGCAAGGAGTGTGCAAATGACATGCCTTACGTATCTACATAATGAGGCCCATAGAGTTGAAACGACTAAAAAAGGAACACATATACAAAAAATTCCATCTCTTGAAATCTCAAGTTCGGCTGCTGCAGCTAAATGAAACACTTAAGAGGAAATAATAGTGATAGCGCGGAATTAATGAGCAACGATAAAGTAATACATGCGGCCCTGAATCGCTCTTGATAACCAGCATCGAGAAGCGCTTAATTTGAGATGACGAGAACCTTCCATAGGGTCGAGAAGGAAAGACCTGTCGCTTCCTGAAGTTACCAAGTCCTTTCGCCTTCGTTCCAAAGATAACACCGCTTGGAACGCGAAGGCGGGTAGTCACTTAAAATTCCGCTCACGACCAACACCACCACGTTCGGCGAGCGGGAATCTGAAAAAGAGACGGCGTAGGCTGCTCTCCTTTAGCGCGCCGTTACAGAGCGCAAGCAGCCCCATTATGTTTGGTGCTGTTGGGTCAAGGATGCATTGGTAGTGCGCGCAACACGTATCAAAACAACGAAAGCGTAGGCTGTGTGTGTGTGTGTTCCTGCGGCTGAAGGCGTTGTTGCTGGTCGATATGACGCAATTTTCATCGTGGTATCTGTCTATTATTCCCATTCCTACACGGTTACTACGTAGATGCGTAACTATGCTTCGGTGGGTGTACATCCCTCGAGGTGACCATCGATACACTCCTTGCCATGAACAAACTTAATAGCGCAAACGTGATATATTGGAACACTGTAACAGAATTGAATACCCAAGTCCCTTTGCTGCTTTTGATAGCACTGAATAATGATTAGTTGTACACCTTGCATCTTTTTCTCATTTAGTGCTCAAATGTGCATTATGTTGTAACGTTCCCGACGTGAAGATGCCGCTGATTAGCGCATACATGAGTTCTCAAAATTTAATTTAAATCTGCTACACAGAAGCCGTCGGTTTGGTTGGTCTAGTGGCTAAGATACTCCTGTGCTGACCCGCAGGTCGCGGGATCGAATCCCTGCTGCGGCGGCTGCAATTTCGATGGAGGCGAAAATGCTCTAGGCTCGTGTTCTTAGATTTGAGTGCACGTGAAAGAAACTTAGGTGGTCGAAATTTCTAAATCCCTCCACTACGGCATCTCTCATAATCATAATGGCGTTTTCAAAACGTTAAACCCCATATTTCATATCATCATCATCATTGATTGGCGCGTTGCCGGCGTTCACCTCGCGCATTTTTCTTACACCGCGAAACGGCGTCATTCGGAGTTCCTATGTCTTGACTGAGCCTTCGATATACCTTTTGCTTACACACTATCTTGCGTATCTCTTGTGATACATCTGTTGCTCTCATGTAGACAGAAACAATCTCAACAAAACACAGGACTCCAATTCTTAAACTAGGTTTTTTTGTGTGCCAGTCCTTGTCGAAGATGGGGGCGGTGTCGGCGAGGAGTATGTTTGCTTACACCACCAAGACGTGCAAGTTATGCGACAGAAGTAGCTTCAGCAATTCAAGGAACTAGACAGGGTGTTCACTCCCCAATGTTTGAGGAGGCCTCTACTGCGGACATTTAGCCAATATGATTAGTGGCCGATAAATCTAAAATATTTTAGACCTTTTGTTGCTGATCGTGTAATGAAGCAATGATCACCCGTCATGCCCTGCACATGTTTCTTCTGTTTTAATTTTAGCATTGTTCACTCGCTACTTTACGGTCTGAAACGGCGTGTAACGAATATATGCCGCTTGCAGTTCACCTCAGAATACTGGGAGCTAACAAAAAAAAAAAAGAAATGAATAAACGTACGACGAATGTTAATTATGTCAATTACTCTTGTTTAATAAAGAATAAGCTTACCTCGTGTGAGCTGCTTTTACTGTCATTCTGAGGTTTTTGCGCAACAGCCTGCATTTTTTTTTCTTATCTCGAAGTTTTTTTGTTTTTGTTTTGTCTGGGTGATGTGCACTAAATCGGTCTTGCCGAGTGCGACTGGAGTGTTGTCTTCTCGGCTGAATCGGTATCTTTAAAGCAGATACCGATTCAGCCGAGAAGACAACACTCCAGTCGCACTCCGGTTAACCCAACAGTTACCCACATAGATAGATACATTGTTAAGGTTGCCTCAGTCTTGTAATGATAGTCGCGCTGAGCGACATGCACTAAGTAGTAACTAAAAGAGGGCTGAACGAGTTCTGTTCAAACGTTCAGCTGTTACCTTCGCAAAAGCACGTCAAAGATATTCATGAAAACATTAAAGGTTGCGTGTGCCTTCAGCAGTTCACGAATCATCAAGCTGCGACCATTGCTTCACTGGTTCATCTATAACGCACGTGCATATATGACTCAGCAAAAATGTATAGCATCGCAATTCAGCACATATGAAGTGCAGCCTTAATGAAACAATGAAAAAGCTGTCATCACTCTACATGGCCCAAGAATTTGATGCGCTGAAACACATACGAGAGCATCTAAATCCTTCAGTTGTGTATTGAGATGGGTGTTCGATACTTTCAGTATTACCAACGCACGTTTTGCCGTACAAGAGACAAGTATAGAACATGACAAGTAATATTAGTAATAACCTCGGGAAGGCACATGCTCACACATGGGTCATTAATGCTACGGCCCTTCCGGTTCTCTTGATACAATTTTGTGTTGTTCTTTTGCTTCTCTCATTGTCAAACTGATTTCTTTTACTATACCTTCGTGTTTTCTTTTCTGTTTTTTTTTTTACTGGCGGTCTTTCTTAACGATCTGCTCGTCAGTGCAGTACCGTTCTTGGTGTACATAACCTAAATATGGCATCAAAGCAGCAGGCCAAGCTCAGAGTATAGTATACGTCAGAAAAATACCGAAATGAAACTCCTCATTAATGCGCGTCAAGCATTATATGCGTTAATCGTTGATGTGCGATCTACAAACGATACCATACCATGAAATTCAAACATCATGAAGTGCTCAAATAAGAAGAAAAAAAACACCGAGAAGGATAAAAAGTTCTTGGAACTTCGACAGTATTCAGGTGTATACGGACAGGAGATATTCTTGTTTTCCATATATTGCGCGGGAGTTAAGCAAAATAAGGAAGTTGGTGCTTAACCACTATTTATGCATGCGTTCGCACGGTTGGTGTAACAAAATTATACTTGTAGAGAGCGACCTTGCTCTGGGACTCCTTCCTGCTCGTTTTGCATTTCGCAGATGTACTAAGACACGATGGTCTCTAGGCAACGAGTTTAAACCCCCCGTACTAATCAATTTCACGTGACTCGACATGCATACGAGGGTGCATCCATGGTGATTTCTTTCGAATGGCTGCGAAATATTTTGCGCCTACTAGATGACAGTCGGAGTGCCGGCATTAAGTCGTGACGTCATGCGATAACACAGAGGGGTCGTACAGGAGCCCACATTCTTGCGCGGAACGCTTGAGTTATATACAGTGCACTGCGAAGAAGAGAAACGTTACTTCGTTTTTGTGTCAAATCGAAGTTGGCAAGGACAAAGAAAGACGAAACGTGCACAAGCACACTTCTGCACGCTCGTGCACGCTTTTTCCTAATGCATCCTTGTTAACACTGGTTTTTCCTCGTGTTCTTGCATTTAGGTGCACTTTTCACTACCCCAGGTGATCGAAATTTCTGGAGCCTTCAACTATGGCATTTCTAACAATAATATCGTAGTATTGGGACGTTAAATCTCAATCAGTATAATTTAAAACACTAATTTGGCGAAAAAACGAAGTCGTGGATCATTGACACTGACCACACTACACTGAGAAAGAAACGGAAAGAGGAAGATAGTCGTGTTGAACAGGCACTGCATAAATATGACATGTCAGGACTGCAAGGTCTTACAAGGCTGATAAAAGAGAAACACGCTAGTGCATTTGTTTGTTGTTCGAAGATAGAAGGAAACTCATACAGATTTTTGGAATAAACTCCTCGACAATAGAGAAATTCGAATGAATTTCTTTCGACAGCTTCGCACTTCGAACGGCCAAGCTATAGTTCGTCCGTTTCGGGGCAGACACCCAAGCATGAAACGTAGCAATCACGACTTGGATCGTTTTGCATTGAAGTACCTGAGTAATA